CCTTTCCCGATGCTGCTGTGGGGATGGGGGAGGCAGAGGGACAGAGGGATGGAGGGATGGAAGGGAGGGGGTATGGATGGAGGGATGGAGGAAAGGAGGGATGGAGGGAGGAATGTTTGGAGGGATGATGGAGGGGGAGAGAGGGATGGAGGGGTGGATGGATGGGGAAGCAGGAGCTCCTGGGAAGGTGAGCAAGCGCAGCGCTGCCTGACCCCTCTCCTGTCTGGGGATGAAGACAAGCGCAGCCCCCATGCCAGCAGCCCCTGCTTGGGTCCCGCTTTCCTGCAACACCAGCTAAGCCAGCACGAGCCCTCAAGCCCTCTCTGCCCTGGGCAGGTCTGACTTTGAGTGTTTAAACCAGACAACACAGTTTTGGACTCCTTAGCACCTTTCAGGCTCCCTCTGCCATCCTCCTCCGACCGTCCCATCTCTGTCCCCAGTGCTCCAGGACTGCCCCGGCCAAGCTGTCCCAGTCACGGGGGCAGAGGTGGTGAGAGATGGAGGTGGCCCATGGTGCTCAACTTCACCATGTTCCCCAGCCCCTCCGGGAATGCCAAATCACTTCCTTCTCTGGGCCCGCTCTGGGATGAATCCTGGGGGCTGCCCGCTCTCCCGGGGGCTCTGGATGTGGCCTGAGCCACAGCCTGCAGCAGCAATGGAGGGGGACTCCTGGCCAAGCACCTCTGGCGGCAAAAACACAGAAGCCTTCCTGGTGCCAGGAGACGAATGCTTTGGTGAGAAGGAAACCCCCTTCTCCCATCTTCTCGCACCATTGCCATCACCTCGCGGGACAGGTGGAGGTGGGGAAGGGCCCTCGACGGAGCTGCTGCCGCCTGGCCCAGGGGCTCTGCAGGAGAAGGAGCCTCCCAGACCAGTGAAGGCAGAGAGGGAAACCCAAAAATAGAACTAAAGGAAAAAAAAAAAAAAGAAAAAGAAACCCAACAACCCCAAATTCCCGTTTTTAATGCCAAATCCCAGCTCGCTTGCCTCCCTGTCACCCTGGCGACATTCCTTGCGGTCGCCATGGAAACGGGAGGCATGGAGAGAGCATCACCGTGCGGGGCGGTGGCAGCGCCCGGCATTATTTCAGGAGGCAGGGAGACACCCGGTGCAATGCGCTTCGTGTTGTGGCAGGGAGGGAGGGTTTATTATTACTTGCTCCCACTTCATGTGCCAGTTTTTCCTTCCCTAAGCATCCGGGTGCCCCTCGCCCTCCCGGCAGCCTTCCCACGGCCCTCCCACGTGCTGCACGGGGACGTCCCATGGCAAGACCCCAGCCCCACCACCGGTCCCAGCTGGGTGAGCTCAGCTAGGCTGCTCCCGTGAAGTCCCTCTGACGGTCACCTCACATGGTGGTTCCTGGTGCCACAGCAGGAGATAAGGCCGTGGCTTGGGGCCGACCAGCTCTTCTTGGGAAGGCGCAAGATGAAGAGAATAAACCTTTGCCACACTCAACAGTCTTACCCCTCCACAGGAAGCTTCATCCCCTGGAGGGGGGACAAAAAGCTGTGAAGAGGAGCGGAGGGACCAGAGGATGACAAGGGCTCTCAGACATTGAGCCCCAGGGGCTTGGAAGGGGATCTGTCGGCACAGAAGACGCTAAATCTGTTCCCCCAAAACCTCCCATCCCTGCTCCACGGCTCAAACCTCTCTCTGCCCACCGGCGAAAGGACCTGGGATACCAGGGACCTGCTGGGCCACCAAAGCTGGGGCGTGGCTTTCACCAGCACCTGCATGGCCTTGCAGAGCCGTGCTGAAAGCCCAGGCGGCTCCGCTCCGATGGCTGGAAACCCAGTTTCAGCCAGTCCCTACCCCGTCGCTCCTTCGCCGACGCTCTCCTTTGGTCTAACCTGCTCATCTCCCACCGCACCGACCTCTGCCTCGGTGCCCGGGCAGGGGCAGGCAGGGCTTGTTTCCCAGTTTCGCGTGGCTGAGCGGATGTTTTCCAGCCCGGCCTGGGAATGTGGCTGGAAAAGCCCGGTGCAGCAGGTGCTGGAGCAACAGAGAGGGAAAACACGGCAGCCAGCCTAATGGGCAGAGAGGAAATGCATGCAAATGTATTCAGAAAGGAATCCGGTGATGCTAACAGACTTGTTAGTCCTCTCCGTAAGCACCAGGAGTAATATTTTTACGCTTTAATCATTAAGGATTTTACTCCAAGCGAGCCCATAAGGATGTGCCGACGGAGGGAGATGCGGAGGAGATGGCCGCGGGTGATGGCTGGGGACAGGGAGGGCGGCAGCCAGAGCCGGCCCCGGGACAAGAGCAGGTGGGGTCACGCAAGCCTTGAGTAACCAAATTAGACCCACGGCCAGATGCGATTTGCTTGGAAATGAGGTGACAAATTAAAACAACCATTTGGTTGTATTAAAGCAGCTTTATATTAGTGATTAGATAATGAATATCTAATGGCCCCGTCTCGATGCGGAGGTCCCCTCGCGCTGCCATGAGACCTCCCTGCATAACCGCAGCTGCAAGGACAAGATTTATCCCAACCAGGCTGGTCACCCAGGGCTGTTTCTGAATATATTAAAACTTTATTACCATCACTACTAAGCTCATTTCTGTTAAATCTATAAAAATGGCAGTACCTATGTGCTTCTTTCAGGCAACACATGTATTACACTGTTTGTAATACACTTGCAAGAATCCAGGATCAATATTTTCAGTGAAGTTTTTTTCAAACTAGCCCTTGGGAAGATCTTTTTTTTTTTCCTCCGGGGCTGGTCGCTCCAGACAGGACACCCAAAGGTGGGGGTGGCTGGTGGGGGGCCGCCAGGGAAGGGTTGTGCATGACCTGCCACGGGAGGGAGGGGGTCCGGGTGGGATGTGATATACAGCCGCAGCATCCCGATAATTCAGATCTCTCCCCGCTTCTTCATTTGCTCCAGGAGACAAGGTGGAGCACCAGGGAGAAGGTGCTGGAGGCAGGACGGGGCCGGGAAGGGCAGAGGGCAGGAGGCTGCCGGCTGGGAGCAGGACAGGGATTAATGCACCCACAGGGAAAATCCCTGGAAAGCCTGGCCCTCACTGGAGCATGTGTCCCCAAGGCCAGAGGATGGGAATCCCTTTCCCTCTGCCTTTTCCCCTTTAACGACACTTCCGTGTGTAACTTGAGACAAGTTGGGGAATTAAAAAGAGGAAGGGAAAAAAAAGAAAAAGGGAAAAATAGCGCAGTTATTCCCGCCTCCGCCTCCTCCTCCCTCTCCTCCCCGGCCAGCCAGGAGCCACGTCACCGTCACCCAGCGCTGGTTTCGGGGCTGCTCAGCAGGCTCAGCCTGGGGCTCTCCAGGGGACAAACCCCAACTTTCGGCCTGGAGCGGGAAGAGCAAGGCGCTGGGCGGGAGAGAAAATCCACCTTGGGGGAAAAGTAAGCGAGGGAGACGTCCAGCTTGAGCGCCCGGCCGGGGAAAGGCGCTTGCAACCAGGGGAGAGGGGAGCCTGAACTTTTCTCTGCCAGAAGAGAGGGCTCGTTACTGGGGAAAAAAGGAAAGTCGAGCCAGAGGAGACCGTTTGCTCGGTCGAGGCTCGGGGGGGGGAAAACTCCCTGCCCTCGCCCTCCCCGCCCGCAGAAAGTGCCCCGCTCCCTTCGCCCCGGAGGAGCCCCACCAGCGCCATGAACGTCTTCCGCATCCTGGGGGACGTCTCCCACTTGCTGGCCATCATCATCCTCCTGCTAAAGATCCAGAAGTCCAAGTCCTGTGCCGGTGAGTGCCCCCACGCCCCGGGGAAGGAGGGGGGCCCTTCTCGGAGGGCGGCTCAGTGAAGGGTGT